AGCTCCTGGGCTCCGCAGCCCGGGCCCCAGACCTAGCCTCTGTGGGAACAGTGAGGGGACCCCCGGCACCGTAGCCCCCATAGCCTGCGCTGTGGTGGCTCAACCCCTTCGGTGCAAGTTCACTTCTCTTAGGTCACCTCTCTCCCAAATCTGGTGGAGATCGAGGCTTTTGGGGAGAGGAGAGGAGGGCTTCCTGGCCAGGGCAAGGTGGGGGGTGGGTGTGGAGTAAGAAGCAAAAGACAAAAGCAGAGGCGAAGGGACCCAGGGTGAAGCTATTTTTAACCCAACGTGGCTCTCCTGCCTGTCCCTCGGCGAGGCTATCGCTCCACAGACGGCCCCACGCGAGAGGCAGGGAGGAAACCCACCCGGAGCTTTTGCTTTTGCTCCATCTCCTTTGAGCATCGGAGAGACCCTTTTACTCTTTCAGCACACACCATCGGGGAGGGAAAATCTCCTTTATCTGCGGAGAGGGACTCGGATTTAACCCGAGAGCTTGGCGTCCTCGTCTTAGGTGCTTTCTCGAAGGCTGAGCTGAACAGACTGACTCTGCCCAGCAGTCCCCTCTCCCTGCTCCTTCCTTCACTCGGGGAGGGGTGGGTCTGGGTGCCCAGCGACCCGGGAGCGGAAGGATGGTGGTGGTGGTTGGGGTGCGGGGGAATTCAGGCCCTCCCCGAAAACGAGTAGCCTTGCAGCCCTCGGGTCTTGGCCTCTCCTATCCCTAGACACATCCTCTACCCTTGACCATCCCTCTGGACGCCTGCGTGTGTCCGTGTGTCCTTCTGGTCCAGTCCCTAAGGACGTCTGGCAGTCCCTCAGGCGAAGGGCATGGGGCGCAGATCATGGCGAAGGCCTGACTGCACCACTTGTAACCACAGTGGTCACGACTGCAAGGAGTGGAGGGGGAGGAGGGGGACCACAGACGGTCCCCAATCCTGCAGTTCTGCCTCCCTGACCAGGACGGGCTGCCTCGGGAGGCCAGGACGGGGCTGCTGCTGCTGCTCTAGGCTGCAGAGTCGGGTGCCACCTCGTCTCTAAAAGCTCCTTCTCTGTGGGGGGGGGGGGGGGGGGCAGTTTTTTTTTTTACTGTTTTACCCCCTTGGGTGCTACTCAGTTTTGAAAAAGACAAGATGGGGTGGGGGAACCCGATGCTGCAAAACGCCCTAAATTAGGTTGGAAGCAGGTGCCCGGGGAAGAAGGAACTCCGGGGATCGGGCGATGCCTGCCTGGGTTTCCCCTCTTTTCGGAGCCACCAATTCACCGCGGCTCGCCTCACCTTGGGGTCCCCGGCTAGGACGGAGGATGCCCGAGGCCTCCTGCCCCTCCCTCAGGGGTTTCCCCACCCCCACAGTGCGGTTGGAGCTCTAGGGTCCGACGTGACCAGAAAATGTCCTTAACTGATGCCTATCCCAGGTACTGCCTGGGCTCTAAGACCAGTGAATGGGGTTATTCGGGGTGTGAGCGGGGGTAGGGGGGAAGACACAACTTCTGTAAACTTTTATTGTATTTTAGCTGCTTCCCACTTCTCCGAACACACACGCACACCGCCTGCTCCAATTTCCCCCTGTGATACAAAGTCCACTAAGAAGTTGGGGGCGGGGGGCCCCCCACGAAGGACAGGCGGGTGACCAAAGCCTCGGCGAGCGCTGGGAGGACCGGAGGGAAAGGATGAACCCTTCCCTGGAACGCGGGGACGGGGCTGGGGAAGGCTCCGGCCGCGCCGCTTCGGGAAGGTGTGTGGGCTTCGGCGATCGCTCGCAGGCTTCTCGACGAGTGCGCCCTCCGCGAATGCTTTTTGGGGTAAGGGCTTCCGGCTATTGAGTTATGTACAGCAAGCCCAGACCGCAAAAAGATTCGCGAAGGGCAGAGTCTGCCGGCTTCTTCGGGCCGCCGCCGCCGCCGCCGCC